GTGACCGAGTTCGTTAGTCCCGAATTCGAGACCCGTTTGATGGATCGTGAATGCGCAATAGTGAGGAATCCCATATTAGAAGGAAACGGCCGTTCAGTTCTTCCAAATTTATTAGGTTGTCTAGTTTCAATGGACTCGTGAATTCAACTATTAGATTAACTATAATCTCCATAAAACTCCGCTCAGAGCACTTCCTTGACTTCTGCCGTCCGCAAGACCGGATGAAGGAGGAGGGTAGAGCAGATGGTTAGCGAACTCGTGGATGGGAAACGTCATCTCTCGCTCTACAAATGCTCTCACATTTCCATGCGTAAACAGCCACTTCTAGGGAAATCCTACTGTTTGTTTTCCCGTAGCATTACTGTTGTTTACAAAATCGATAAGGTGAAAAGTGAATTCCATTGCTTTAACTACGTTGCTAGATACGGGGGATCTACTCAAAGGAGTTGGAAAACCCTGATACCAAACCAATTATGCATGTGGTCTCCAGTGTCTTGAAGGAACAAATAAAGTATGAAATAATTGGTGACCGTCTGCTACCACGAAACTGCATCTCGCAACTTTTTTCTACTTCCTGATGGATTAGTCCATTAGTTCATCGGTTCTGAGTGGGTAACCCACCAAGAAAACAATCTGCTTCAGTCTGACTACCCCGGTAGTATCCCTGTTTACACATACTTATAACGTTTATTGTACTTATCATTATCATTACTGTACCTTAATCACTGTTGAGTTGATCCACATTTTTGTGCATTTGTTTAAACGCAACAGTTTCCATAATGTTTCGCTCTTGATTCGGGTTTCCATTGTTCATAAACTGTTATCAAATTTAAACACAGCTATCAACTGTCCTTTGTACTATCGTATGTTGTAATTATTCTTTATGTTACTCTTACAGGAAGCCTTTTTATTTTCATACTTGAAAGATGCGTTTAAATGCCTCAGACACGTCACAAGTTGAGGTTTGTAACTAAGTTTTGTGTATAATTCAATGAATAAACGCTATTGTAGACAAATCGTTGTTTTGGAAGCTTCGGGTGACTTGGACGCTTCGAAAGATCTAACGTTGAGGAAGTTTGATTAGTTCCATTAAACGTGGAGTGATTATGAGTTATATCGTGATACATCCCTGAGAATCATCATATACTTAGTTTTTTAATCATAGATATCAATAGGATAGTAATTCAAGTTCACAATATATGGTTTGACAGTAGGTAAATGATTGATGTACATTATGTGATAATTGAGTTTGGGGGTAGTAACAATGAATGAGGTTAATAGTCTGAATGAGGAAATAGTAGTAGGTATTCCATTCTCGTCTTCTGATTTTCGATTTTCCCAATTTTCTGTCTCCATATATTCCACTTTCGATTAGTGATACATACTACTTATATCTGTCGGGATTGAGTAGCACACATCACACTAAAACTACCAACATCCTACTCATAATGTGAAATTAGCTGACTGAGATACAGATGTATTATACAATTCATTAAGAAATTCTTCGCAATGATCAGTGTTGAAAATGATGAGTCATGTTTCATCATATTAAAAACTCGCTACATGGATAATCGTACTAATTTTGGAGGTCAGTTTGTAGATGATAACGGTATCCACACATCTGGATTGATTAAATTCAGTCATTAATATCAAAAATGACAGTAAAAGACCTCACAATTAGTAGAACGAAACAGTTATTAGATCTTGTTAGTTGAATTCATGAGTCAATGAGGGCTAGAGCATCATCGACAACCTGGAAGAACTGGACGGTCAATTCCTCCTCAGAAATGTGCATCCACGATCCATTTCACAGGATTCGAATACAGCGTCCTATACTCCTTTATGAGTGGTAAGAGTGAGAAAGCACAAACCAACTTCCATCTGTAGAGGAAATTGGGAAACGATGTTGGATTTGGAGAAAACATACATTGAAGTAATCTCCGAACTGCATCACGAAGCAACTCATTAACTTGAGATCTTGAAGGGAAATGGAAAACAGTAAAGTCAAAGAACACATTACATCAGGAAACGGAAACAGATATGAAAAGGAAGAATAGAAACTGGAATGAACTGGAAAGGATTATCCAGGACAGATTTAGATAGAGAATGCTGATGGGCAGCCTATGATCCTCTACAAGGAGTGACAGGCGTACACAAGCTTCTTACAAGTATATATTTCTCTCTGTTTATATAAAACGCCATATATATGAACACATTTATTTATTATTATTGTCCAATCAAATTGTTTTATCCAAATTAGAAACTAAAAATTAAAATATAAAAATCAACATTTTAACCAATCAGAAGTTGATAAATTCAGAAATAACATTTAAAACAAACCTGGAAACAACAGTTAAACGGATAGATTCCTTTAAGCATGTATCTATGCCTGTATGTATGTTTATGTATGTATGTATGTCTGTCTGTCTGTATGTATGTAGGTATGTACGTGCGTACGTTTGCATGAATGTATGTATGTATGTATCATATTCATTTAACTCTTATTTATTCATTCAATATCCTGATTATTGTTACTATGGTACATGAATCAATTCTATTGTGTTATAGCTACAATCATGATCATTATCCCATAATGATTACGTAACTCTTAGTTGATAATAAATATGAACACAGTTAATAAAAAGGGTTATAATATTAGATTACGTAATATGAATAATAAGAATAACCATAGATTTATTGATTATAATAAGATGATTAAAATGTTTTTTTGTTATAATAATTAAAGGTCAATAGAGGTGTAAAAATAAATAAATATAGTGATATGATGAGTATTCATCAATAGAACAATGAGAATATAAGATATAAGTAAAGGGGAGAATGCAGTAATAATAATAATAATTGGATAATCAAAATACTTAAGGCCAAGCTAACGATAACGATAAAACGTACTTCTTTTGTACGCATAGTTCTGGTTTAAGCTCCTGGATGGTAAGATCTTCGGCTATTTTTAAACGTTGGATGCGAAGAAATCTGGGTACATTTGAACGAATCATATAAACAACCTTAAATTCATTTCTTGGATCTGTGGAATGCTTACAGTCGATTAGGTGTTCAAGTATAGAACTCTTAACTGCTTTCGTTTTCCCCTTATAGAACCAAGCTGGAATATGTTCCCGTATCCGAGTCGGAAGAGAGCGCTGGCTACGGCCAATGTACCTGTTCATCTAATAGTTGTTGTTAGACGATTTTCGATTACTTCTGATGTTCGATCACCTTTAAATTCCAGACTTATATAAAGGTTTTTCTTCGTAACGGAGCAACTAGGTTTCTTATCACAACTACTTCTATTCATATTCTTTTCTATGAACCGTTCTGGGTAGCCGTTTTCCGTCAGGGTTTTCTTGAGGAATTCAAGTTCTTCGTTAATGCATTCCGTACTGCATATCTGACGTATTCGATAACATAAAGAGTGGATGAGATTTCTCTTTCTACTTAACGGAACACAGCTATAGAAGTTAGTTAGCTGTCCATTCCATGTTTGTTTTCTGAAGATTGATCGTTTTAAAGAACCATTACTCCTTCTCATCAGACGTACATTGAGAAAAGGAATTGATTGGTCCCGTTCCCTTTCTAACGTGAAGTCTATAGAAGGGTGGCGTGAGTTAAAGGTGTTTAAAATATCCTCTAAATCAATATTATTGTCACAAACGATAAACGTGTCGTCCATATATCTAACGTATAGGTGAAATTGACTGATTATCGAGCTTAGTTGGTCGTCTTCTAGTTTTGCCATGAAGCAATCTGCTAAAATCGGACTCAATGGAGACCCCATCCCTCTGTCTATATATTTCATTATTGAAACTAAACTGGACATTAAAAGTACAGCGTAACAATAGTTCTTTCAAGCGTTCAGTCGGCAAACCTAGATCAATGTTGTTGGAATCATTATACACACACATATGATATATCGTTTCGGTTAAAGGTACGCTAGTGAACAAAGAATTAACGTCAAGCGATAACATGTGTTTTCCAGAAGTAGTGACTTTCTTAATACGATCAATAAATTGAAAAGTATCATGAATAGGAAATTTAGATACTTGCCTTCTAACCGGTTCCAATATTTCCGCCATCCGTTTGGCGATTCTGTGGTATGGTGAATCCGACATATCCAAAATAGGTCGTAACGGTAAACCCGGCTTATGTACTTTCGGTAGTCCATATAAGCGCGGGATGATTGAACCAATGGGACGTATATGATTATATAAATCTTGGGTTATTAACCCCTTATTTTTAAGAATTTTAACAACATTTGTTAGCTGTTTTTCGATTTGCAATGTTTTATCAACTTCTTTAAGTTTGGAGAATTTAGTACCATCCTCTAGAATTCATTTCATTTTATCCAAATATTCTTGGCGATCAAGTAGTACTACACCAGCTCCTTTGTCAGGTTTACTTAGGATTAAATTCTTATTTCTTTTCAGAAGTATTAGCTGATCCAAATGGTTCTTAGTTAATAGGTGATTCCTTGAATCTGATTCTGTGAATCATAATCTTTGTTTCTTCACACAGGTTCCTTATGCTTAGTTAGCTTTAGTAATTAGGTGGACATTCTGAAAGTTCATTCTAGGGTAACTCAAAGGTCAACTTTAAATTATAGTCTCATTAATAATAGAATATTGCCTATTGCCTATTAATCTATCGAAGAAATAAGTAGTATTGTCATGTAATTTGAAATTTCTAAAAGAAATTCATTAGTTCTATTTTTTTAATTGTCTCTTTTAATTTAATGGTAAATATTATATTCAGATCAGCTTTACTATTCAAAATCTAAGTGTATTCCAAGTATATCCGAATTCCTCTTTCTCTCAGTGAAAATATATCAGTTCCTTCTGCGAGTATTCTAATTTCTCTGAACCTCACAGTTTCAGTTGCACAGGATTCGTATGAAACCATATGTGGTGTATGCTACTGATGTTGGCAGATATAAGTAGTATGTATGATCAATGAAATGTGAAATACATAGTGACAGAAGGCTAAGAATGTTCGAAAAGAAGAGAGTTTGGACAGAGAATGCATGGTGTAAAGATAAGGATGATGATCCTTTCGAAGATGATGATGATGATGATGGTGATGATGATGATGATGATGATGATGATGATGATGATGATGATGATGATGATGATGATGATGATGATGATGATGATGATGATGATGATGATGATGATGATGATGATGATGATGATGATGATGATGATGATGATGATGATGATGATGATGATGATGATGATGATGATGATGATGATGATGATGATGATGATGATGATGATGATGATGATGATGATGATGATGATGATGATGATGATGATGATGATGATGATGATGATGATGATGATGATGATGATGATGATGATGATGATGATGATGATGATGATGATGATGATGATGATGATGATGATGATGATGATGATGATGATGATGATGATGATGATGATGATGATGATGATGATGATGATGATGATGATGATGATGATGATGATGATGATGATGATGATGATGATGATGATGATGATGATGATGATGATGATGATGATGATGATGATGATGATGTGATGATGATGATGATGATGATGATGATGATGATGATGATGATGATGATGATGATGATGATGAGATGATGATGATGATGATGATGATGATGATGATGATGATGATGATGATGATGATGATGATGATGATGATGATGATGATGATGATGATGATGATGATGATGATGATGATGATGATGATGATGATGATGATGATGATGATGATGATGATGATCTTTACAAAACCCTCCCTCTGATTATATTAGCTAATTAAACTAGAGGCTGGACAAGTATTTTGAAGACTCTTTGTGACATACAGTTATCCTTTATTAGATCATGAATACTCACTGCTTACAAGTCTCATACTAAGACAAATCCGCAGTCTAATGATTTTTTAATTTTTAATGGGCAACAATTGAAAATGAGTCCAAAATGATAATCTACTTCGTCAGAGATTATCTATTGAGAAAAAGAAAGAAAACAAAAAAAAGAGAGAAAAATAATGAAAACTGTTATGACATTGACGTCTGACTTTTCTATCACACGAATTATCTACCAATCCGAATACGACTTATACGAATCTTCACACTTGGCCAACCAATGACGTTCAACTAGTGTGGGCAGTCTAGCGCCTTATTGGTCCCAGGTCCTTCTAGCCCGTTTATGTGAGTCCAAAACACAATACCAGCTTCCGCAACATCAATCGAATCGTTTATTTCAGACATACTCGGTTTATATATCAATCAGACAGACCGCAACGTACCATAAAATAGAAAATAACATGTGTACACAAATATGCCCAAAAGTGGCTGTGAACGAAGGGGACAGTAATTAATAGACTGAGTATAGCTTAAGAACCGTAAGTCGTACAATAATATAGTATAAGTCAAAATAAAGCGTATAATAAGAGGAATATGAATATACATAATCTAATGATTGAATAGTTATACAATAAGAATATTTATAGAATATTAGTCCATTAATAGTCCTCGGAAGTTACCTGTAATTTAATCTTCACCGGAATATAACACCCCATTGTTTAGCTTATCTCTAAGAGAAACAAATTTGGATCAATTATCTTCGTATAACGTGTAGATATTGATTTTCTTATCGATAATGAAAATAAAGAAAAAAATGAGAAAAAAATAAAGAAAAATCAATCAATATGATCAATGATGTTTTTCTTTTAAAATCCTTCTTTTAATTTTTGAATAGAGAGAGAAATGGAAAAAAAGTGAAGGTGATTTTCAAGAAATATCTAATAAAGAGAAACAAGAAGGTAGTGTTTGTTTGAATGTTTCTATGGATGAGAGATTTAGTAGTTGGGTGGTTGTGTGGTATTGGTTTGAGTCGTGAAGTGATAGATGAGTACTGGAATGTAGATGTATCTAGTTGATGAGGAGTCTTAAATAGGACGAAACCTGTGTCCTGGATTTCATTACTAGTCACTTACTATCTATATACAGAATGCTTGTGAATTAAGGTGATATCGATGCAATCCGTATAGGATGCACATATGTTAATAAGATATTGATAAATTGCAGCCCTTAACAACAACGAGAAGATTGAGGTAAAATATTGCCAAGTGAATTTAAACAAATTCCCCTTGCACAAGCATGTGGTTTTCAGAACACAGGAGCTAAGTAGATAACACAAACGATACAAGGTTCGAATCCCATAGTGAACATCAATTCGGAGATGATGTTATACCCAACTAACGAGTTGCAAATAGGATGAAACACGTGTCAAACTGGATTCTTCTACTAGCCACTATCCATCTCTGCCTATATAAGTATTTAGCTTGTAAAGAAGAATAAACTGTAGTGACTTTGTCTCATTTGAGAAGTTTTAGAATTGTCCGGGTGCAAAGAATGTAAAATAATACGGAGTGAATAATCGAAAAGTAACACATCAACTCATCTAAAGCTCTCTTAGTTAATCAAACGATGTTTTTCTTACCTTAATTCAAATTTATACAGAATAATTGAGCAGTATCCAATGCTGTGTTTACCCAGTCTTTAGCGTTGAGCGAATACAACTAACGTTTAAGAAACTAGATATCAGGAGGATTACAATGAAATATTATGTGGTTGGAAATAGTCATTCTTAAATCTATATGACGTGTAAATATCTAGGTGGTTACGTCATGGATTATAAAGCTGGATAACTTTGTTCGAATCATCAAAGGAACATCAATACCCTAAATATTATAGATATATCTTACTGATGGATGTTAAATAACATGAAATCAAATTTCATAGTTTACGGAGCAAGTATTCATCGTATACTCCATACTTTGAACATTCCAGTTTGTTATATAATTTACTCTCATGAAGTGAATTAGTCGACATTAGCAATTCCGAATTTCCTATGCGAACAGATTAGGTCACATGAAATCCATTTAATTGACTTAATGACTATTAGAACACGTATGATTGAGGAATTTTGATTCGTTCCATTAAAAGTGGAATGATGATGAGTTACTGTTGATTATTATTATTATTATACAGTTTGATACAACCCTTAGTATAATCATACACTTCACTTATACAGTTTAATATTAGGTAATTAATTCATGTTAATTAGGTAATAATGGTAGTATTATGAATAATAAGTACAAGTTCGGGTGACTGTGGACGAATGAACGTAGCCAGACATTCCACTTCCAATAGCGGCTACATACTACTTATATCTACAAGCGTAAGTATCATACACCATACAACTAGTCTTTCTGTACAATTGTAAACAAAAGATGGATGTGCACTGTTGAGGAGCCTCATAGTAGGACGAAACGGTCATCCAGCGCTTCCACGTTTTCCATGTTGGCGTAGCTTCAATTGACTCATGGTCTCAACTGTTAAAATGGTTTCTTATCAATGTAATTTCTTAAAGCATTTTTCTGGTTTCAGAATAATTCAAGGAATGGTCTTGTCATCATATTACAAAATTGGATATTATCATATAAGTTAGTGTGTCTATTTCTCTTATCGGTCAATAATCAATTGTTTATGGTAATAGAAAGGATCACTTCGACATAGGATATGTTATAGTATTTGATGTTCCCTGTAACACTCCAACCCAGTACCGTTCGCAGGTATATTCATCCGATGAGTCCCAAACAGGATGAAACATGTTTCTCGAACTTTACTGCTAGCCACTTTTCATCTTTGCTTATTCATCTTGTTTGTTCTCACTGACTGGTTTAATATTTTCTCATAACATCGTTTTAGCGTCCTGATGGGACAGTAAGCACAGGTAATTGCTAATCCAGTCTTGCATTACGAACAAGGGAACATGTATATTGTTATCAAGTAGTCACCTTATATGAGTATAAATGTACTGTGAAAATTGTTTGTCGACAATTGATAATGAAGTATTAGTATTGTTTTTATTCTTTGAATAACTGAGTGGAATATGGATCATAACTGAATCAGTAGGTTGGATACAATAACACTTTTGAACTGAAACCAATTATATGTTATCAACTAATAACATTCCAGTTTGTGTGAAGAGAATTTTTATAGATTCGAATAACTCACCGACTGTATTCATGAATGATTAATTCCACATCAAGGTAGATACTAATAAAGACTAGAAAGCGTTAGATGAACATAGCAATATAATATAGGATTGTTTATGAATAGGCGATCGTATTCCCTCCATGATACCTTAATATTCTATTTGTTTGACGAATAAACATTTATCAATATAGGGTTGTGGCGATTATTCAGTCGTTGATTGGGATCCTGAATCGATTGATGTTTGACCACCAATGATAGCCGTTTCGTCATATGGTGGAAATCCTCACTATTGCTCAGGGTTTGATCACAAGATCTACGGTGTCTTTCGTATTTATCATTCCTACTAATTTCATTAGCTTATTCTTTATCTATCTCGTTGCCATAACAACAACAACATAGAAAAGGAAATTCTTTTTCATTTTTACATTATTTTCTAACTAAAAACCTACCCTGGTAATATTGACTTATTATTCAGAGTGATTAGTTTTCAAATTGTATTCACATTATTATTATTATTATTATTATTATTATTATTATTATTATTATTATTATTATTATTATTATTACTCTTGTCATTAGCCTTATCTCCTCTTACCCCGTTTCCTGTCTAGTTGACCTTTTATTTTTATATATAAATGCTCTTAACAATTATATGTGTGACCAGATTGTTCGAAATGTATTGCGCTAATATATCACATAGTTCTGATAATCTTCGTCTTCTAGCATCATTATCGAAATTTATCAAAGGGACTAATTGTTTTAAAATCAATTCATCATCCTCTCTTTTAAATTTAGTTCACATGCTAGTAATATTGATTCGATTCCCATCCTCACCCTCATTCTCACCCCCTTCTTTCTTTTTCCTTTAATACCATGTTTATCTATACCTGTATGTAGACATTGTTGCTTAGTGATTGAATATGAATAAATTTTAGATATAAAAAAGTGTTTAAGTACTGACTTCTTGACAATTTCTCAATCTTTAGAAATCAGATTCTCTTAAACTTTATATTGGAAATCAGTAAGTGAGTGGTATGGAAGTAGCTTGCTTAGGAAGATATGTTCATATTTATATATAAATATATATAGAATGGATAGGATTAGAGGTAAATATAATGTCTAAACTGATCTACAGAATATCTGAGAACCATACAGTGAATGCTTCATCAATCGTCTCAGAATTTATTGTTCATTCGTTTCCACATCAATCATTCTCTGTTCTTATTCTAGTTTTCTTGAGTTTCAAAACCTTGTGCCACCACGTATTTCACTTTCTATTAATGATACATACTACTTATATCTGTCAACATCAGTAGTACACACAACTTAGTACTGTTTCAACTCATTTCTATTCATATTATTAATTTCAAACATCTGTCGTGATATTATATATTGTAACGATGTACATTTGTACCTGGAATAATATTGTTTTGATGAACTCATTAACTGACCGGTACAATAAACAAGATGAAGATAGTTTCCATGACAAATCAAGGGATGAATCGGAAACCAGCAACACAGTTAACTGCTGTAAAGATAATGACAACTTAAGAGGTAATGTCAGTCAGT